CTCACCCACCCAACTCATCGTCGATTAAAACGTGGTCGTCCCCACGACCTCCCACACTAAACCACCTCCCAACATTCAAATCTTCACCCTACACATGCGCTTCTTCCAAATCACTAAGACTACAGTTACTATAATTACTATTGTAAATATGTAAATATCAGAATATTATTGTTATTATTATAATTGTTATTATTATCCTTAGTACTTAAAAATATTTTAATTTTAATTATCATGTTATAATGTTAAAACTATTATTATTATTATTACAAATATCCCTAGATTTAGATAGCCTTAGGCTAGGAATGTCTTATGTTTAATAATAAAAAAATAAATAAATAAATAAATACAAAATAAGTAGTTATATAAAAACCCCTATTCTTAAGCAGTCTCCTTATAGCTTAAGCTTAGCTATAATTATAGGTTCAAAAATATTTTTTATATACCTAAAATCTAGCAATAATATAACAGTAAAATTTATGAAAATTAAAAACATATTTAATGCAGAAAATCTGAAGTCTTAAAAATCTAAAGGGATACATTTCAACTATTTTAATTAGTCAGTTATTTATGAGATTGTATCGATGTACATATTTAAAACATTTAAGATTTAATTAATAGGCATGACTTAAATTGCTCAAGGCTCAAACGAATTAATTGCCAGTTAATTTAAATTCAATTATTTATTGGACTTCGAACACTTAGTTGTTAATAAAAATATTTTATACAAAATATAAGTCCAAAAAGAATTATTTAATAGTGAATTAAAAATGTATATTACAACTATAAATTAGGTTTCCAGATTAAAATGTATATTCGGAATATTATGTTCTAATAAGTATATTAGATTTAATTTCAAATTAATATTATGATATAGTAACTATATATATTCATTCATTATTACACAGCGCGTTTATTACTAATATTTTAATAATTACTCTGTATAGAATGTACAAAATTTATAATATCTATTGATTCATAAAACATGCATAAGAAGTTAATTAAAACAAAAAAAAATTACTAATATCAATTTTGAATTAAAATTTATAATTATATAAATTATATATACTGTATTATATTAATAATTATAATTCGTATTAATATTTAGCACATGAATGTTTTTTAACACTATGTTTATAGACTAGTGACAATTCTACATTGATTACTTTGACCAACTTATTTTTAAATACTGTATAAATGTTATATGCCATGCAGCTTTGGAATGCAACAAAAATGTCTATTACTAACTGTACACAAAGATTTTTTACAATCAAAAATTTTTCGTAATACCTATTTCAAAAGCTCCATTCTGCGTTTCCAAAAAATGCCTCCATTCCTATAAATACTATTATGACTAAATTTGCCAAACTTAATAACAGGCACTTTATTGCTCGAATAAATTACCACCCACTTATTACTCAACTCTCATTAAAAATTATCCCAAGCTATTCTCAAAAGACTAAAATGGCAGTGTCATTTACTTTTTATATTTTTTTTGTTCCCAACCGATTCGAGTTATGTAGGTTTCAATTAATTTGAATAGTACCAAAATCGTTCCGTATGAAATTATTTAACTAGTATGACGATTTTATTGTACTAAACATTCTATGAAGGATTACATTTTATGAAGTATGCGGTACATTATATTCAAAATAAATGATAATAATCAGGGCCGACGTAAGGCTAAATGATACCCGGGGCCAAAATTCCAGCTGGCGCCTTTTTCATACAACAACCCATAATATCATTATACTTAGAAAAAAAATGTTGTTCGTGAACAGAAATACGGAAAAATTATATATTATGATCAACTTGTATATCATTTGTTATCGTCTAATTTTTTAGTCACGAGTCATGACGACTCGACGCGATCCCGATTGAACGATAACAAATATTTGGGAATTATAGCAACATACGATAAAACATTCTACGCTAAACCATAGTAAATATATACTTAAAACATACTTATATTATTTTAATATACGGCTAAACGGAATAACCATAATTATTATCAATATTTCAATACAAAGTTATAGGTATTTTACATAAAAAAAAAAAAAAAATAATATTACTGACACTATGTGCAAAAGTGTAAAAAACAATTTTGGCGCCCCCCTGAAAATGGCACCCTAGGTGACCGCCTGAGTCACCTTACCCTCACGTCGGTCTTGTTAATAATGATCGAGATCAACGAACTTAACTCGTAATGATTTATGTAAATATTATACTATGGGATTAGTTATCAAATATGCTGACGTATTATTGAAATGCTCCCTTACGTGCATATGAGTCAAGAAAACATGTATGAATATAGAATCTATTTTAAATTCATTGTAATGGATATAGGTATATACAAGTGTTTTGGTATTTGGCATGTGTTTAATGTTTAATCAAGGTGTATTAATTGAACACATTTAAACTAATAATTTTAATTCAATATTTAACGTAATGTAAATAGATGTGTACAATTCTCGGATAAAATACCTACTTTCTATCTATAAACACCCTACTATTAACGGAAGAAGAAAAACCTTTTTTTATATTTTTTAAATTACTGATACATTATAAATAATTAATATTTTAAAAAAATACCAATAAGGTTGTCTCTTAAATATTGAATTGTACAATTTTCACACTTATGGTGTAGAATCTAAACAATATATGATGTACATTTAATTTACGTAATAACTATTTATCTAGCAAAATTTATAAATAAATTTAAATCCAAAGAGACCTTTTAGTGCTGGAACATGGCTTTGTCATAAATTTGTGTCGATAATATTCGAGGATTCGTGATTATTTTTCTACTTTTATTGAGGAATTGGATTTTCTGTTTTTATAGTTATAATAACTCCAAGGTAATTTAAACAACATGAAATATTTCACGTTATGATATTGTAACGATTTTCAAAAATGCAATACACTTATACGGCATTATGTTCTAGAATTTATTTTACTTCCTCGAATTTGTTTGTCACCTATTATTTTCCAATACGTACGAAGAAGACATGATAAAATATGTTTAAAAATATTTACAAATTAGTGAAATATGTAAAAATATATAAAATAAAAGTGTCATCATATTAATAGGAATGATTTAAATCATGAACATTTCTAATCGAATTTACATTAATATTAATATGCATTTATCAGACTTGGGTAGTATAGCGAATACAATATTCGGAACACTGTATTTCGAATACCGTCAAATCATCTCTTTTTTAAATGATTTTATTACTTCTCCGTCGTATCTTGTTTAAGCTAATATCAGGTTTTTATTATTATTATAAACCATAAACTATAACAGTTATGTAATATAAAAATACAATAAAATAACATATATTTAATCTAAAATTTCAAATATTTCTGTTGAGTGGACATCTATTATTTTTATTGTATGAAAACTAGAAGTATTTTAAAAGTATTCAGAATACTTTTGAAGTATTCTAAATAATGTATTCGGAATACAATTTGTATAAAGTATTTATCCTAAATACTTTTAAAAAGTATTTTACCCAATTCTGGCATTTACATATACATCCGTTCCTTAATTATTATGTATATTTATATTTTAATAAGTTATTGATTTAAATAAAATTAACAAACGCTTACATAATTATAAGGAAAATTTATTATTTATATTGCATGTATAAAAAATATTCAGTTTTTGGTGACTTTTTTTTGTTAATTAAAATACTTAAAGCCGCATTTTGAATTTTCACCCTGAGCGCAAGGGCATATTTGAGAGGGACGAAGGGGATATTCGCCCCCCCCCCTATGAATCGTATTTTTTTTGAATAAAATACATTGATTTATTTAAAAAATGTAATGTATAAATAATTAAGAATATAAATAACTAGTCTATCGTTATAATATGTTATCATTATAATAGGAACATGATCTGTAGGTGTTGAACTGTAAATTATTTTTAAATTTGTATTGAAGAAAAATTAGTTTCGCCCCTCTCCCTTCATGGCCTCAACCCGAATACGCCCTTGTCCGAGCGCAATATTTGGTTGTTACGGCTCTGGGTGGAAACACCGTTAATCTACGTTGGCAGGGGCAGTTACAACGCGAAAACGGTGTAGTTTACGCTAAGTGCGGCAACTGATGGGCCGAGTATAGTCGAGTCATTAGCGAGTACGAAGTCGTATAATATCATTTTTAAGTAGATTAATTGCGCACGGACGGGACACGGTTTCACGTGCATAACGTGCACCACACAAAACACGGTGTGCGTATAAACAGTGGCGGCGTGATGGCAGATTTTTGAGTCCCTGGACTCAAGTCAGTGAGTGGGTATTGATCATTGGGTATCGAGTGGGTATGTAGCATGTAGAACGAATAAGGGGGGGAGCTCTTTTTACAAGCTATCCCTAAATTTCTTTTTAGGTGGGCGGGTTGATGGTCAAAATCCTAACAGGATTCATGAAGTAAGATATTTCGCGCCGCCACTGCGTATAAACATTGTACACATTACACACGCGTGTGCACATTGTTCGGTTAGCGAGTGACCAAGAGAGTATCAAAACAATGAAACTATTAGTTACCAAATTATTATTATTACCGAACTTTGTATTTACTGTTACCTTTTGACTATTTATAACTATATAATTTAATTATTACCAAGTGTTTTAATTTGTTTTATAACTATTATTGTAGTTTATATTATTGCGATTTATTTATGTGTTTATCTGTTTATCTATTTATTACTTAGTGCCCGCCGGAGCCGTACGGTAATAATATAATTGTTCGGTTGCACAGCATATCGCGCGCTCTCGGAGCCCCGGATTCTATCAGCAGATGTCCCGCGGGTGCCGGGGGTTAAGTTTTTTGAAAACGAACGGGA